AGAGAGAGAGAGAGAGAGCGAGGGTGGGAGTGAACTACAGAGGGCCTTTCAAAGGAAAGAATGAAAGTCTGCGGCCTGAGGCTGTGTGCGGCTCTTGGGCTCTGTAGCACCTTTCGCGACAGCACGCAGCACTCAGCCGGCCGGCGCATAGAAATTGTGAAGACTTCCACTTTGCAGCGCCGTCTGTGTGTTGGGCCCCTCCCGACCGGAGTATGGGTAAGGCTCCATGTGCAGGGGAACTTCAAGCTCCTGTTCTGATAAGGCGGGAGGCCCGGGACACAGAGGACGGCTCTAAGAGACCTCGCCTCATCCCGCAAAAGTGCTGTCACACCGGGCGCAGGACGTGGGCGCAGGAATACACAGGGGTTGGGAGCGTGCTCCTTGTCTTCTGTTAAAGTGGTCAGAATTCCTGATGGCAGAAAGGCCCGCTATGAACTGCATGCGCTTGCCAGAGAGAGAGAGACAGAGACAGAGAGAGAGAGAGAGAGGATGTTGTTTGGATCGCCGTGCGCTGGAGAGCGGGGGGGCGGACGGGGCAGGGAGAGGACTTTCGAAGAGAGGACTTTAGGGGTTTTGGAGCCAGGCGCAGAGCTCTTGGAGGCCGGGACGCGGGGGACGCCTCCGCGGCGAGCGCAGCCTCTGAGCCTCTGAGAGGCGGCGGCTGAGCCGTTGGACCTTCAGAAGTTGGGCGAAGTGCTCGTAGCTCTGCGAGTGCGCATCGACAGGCGGCCTGGAGCATTTTCGAGGGATGAAACTTCCAATAAAAAGTTGCCGATCTGATTTGATGCCATGCAGTTCAGCATCACGGTCGTCGCAGAACCTTGTCGAAGCTTGGATGCTAGTACTTCCGTGAATTCCGGAGGCCATGTCGGTGAGGTTATTTCACTTGCAATCTTTGACTTTCGGCGCCTCTGCAGCATTGCCAGAAGTGGTCGCTGTGCTCCTGCACAGCTTTCGAATCACGCTTCCGCCGCTTGCGGCTTGCTTTCATCCCTGCTCTCACTTGTGTGCTTCACATTCGCTGTACTTGCTGCATGCGTTGCAGTGAAGACAGTGGGACAGTCAGCATTGTCAGCATGTGTTGGAGTCGACGGAAATGTCGAACACACACCGGACGGCAACTAGCTAACTAGCAGCCGTGCAAAGAGAGCAGCCGACTTGTACAAGAACACAGGCTCTGCCTGCGCGACACACAGAGCGAATCCCGCAAGGTCTTTTTCCAAATCCCTCAACTTAAGATAGTCAAGCCAGGTTGGTGGCGGATTGGGCGGAGATGCAGCTTGCTCTGCGCGACTGGAGGAGCGAAGCCGAGCGACAGGCGAGGCACCTGCCGATCAACCACGGCATTTTGCTGAAGCAAAGCCAAGTCCTACACCGGATGCCCCTCGTCTCCAAGAGGCGGGCATTTTGCGACGACTCTTGAGAGTGAGGGCTGAGGCCGGGGAGCGGCATTCTACGTCGTGCACCACAGCCATCGAAGCGCACTGTGAACCCACGGCGCAACGGACGGAGTTAAGCTCGAGCGGTGTGTTGATCGCATAACACAGCGCGGCATAATCCTAACACCGCGCGGCATTATCCTGACTTAGCTTACTACTTTGTTCTAAGCTCCCAGTCTCTCTGATTCACTCGCCTGGAAGGTGACTTGGAGGGATTTTGGGGCAGTTGCTCTCTGAGCCCAGGCTCTCGTTGCTGCCCCACTTCGACCAATGCCTGCGGAACTGCATTGAAAGAGTCAGGCGGCCAGCAGACGAATACTACAGCTCCTCGGTCCTGGAGAGTGCAAGGGCTTACAAGTGGCAAGGCGTAGTGACATGGTCAATGCTTTGCGCTTGATGCTGTTGATCGCTGCTTTCAGGCGCGCGGCTCTATTTGCAGGGCTCGCCCATAGCTGCATCCCAGCCATTGAAGAGCGTTTTCACTGGCGAGCCAAATCTGCTGTCTTCGGAAGTGGAGGAGGCGGAGGTGCTGGCACTGTCTGACAGGCTTTCGGCATCTGCCGGAGACAGCGTGCACTCCGTGGACTCCGTGGACTGGTGTGATGGTGCACGGGAGCTCTATGCGGTTCAAGGCGCAGACCCTTGCGAGGCCTTGGCAGGCACCGCGGCCTCAGTGCTGGCGGAGGTGCATGGCTGGCAGGTGGGAGCAGAAAGCGCCAGAAATGCCAGAAAGCTTTTGGAGGGAACAGGAAAGACGTGGCTCAGGCATCCCGAGCCTTCCTGGCCCGCGTGAGACGCTTCCAGTTCTCCACGGCCCCGAACATCTCGAGGTTGGAGGCGGGCGCCAAACTGGCAGAGACAGCACTGCGAGCTCTCTTTTGTGCGCCTCACGCGCTCGTCGGCCTTCTTGCCAAAGCCGGGCACTGCGCTGTGGAGAGGACCCACGACGAGGTTGGGCGCACGCGCGCGCACGCACAAGACATATATATATATATATATTTTTTTTATATTCATATGATATATGCATTATACATCACCATTGCCGTTTCCATTGCCATTACCTTGCCGTTTGCATTTTCTTTTCAACCCGCATGACCTTATCCACTGCACTGCATTATGTTACATTACACTGCATCGCATTACGATATAGGATGCAATACGATGCCATCTCAGCCATATCATGCAATGCGTAACGATGAGTATACTGCAATGTGAACTAGTGCAGTATGTTTTTGGCTTAGAATGTGATACATTGTACCACGCTGTGACTTCATGCAACACAGTGTATTGAAATACAATATCATGCAATATAGTGTGATGCAATGTAATATATTGCAATATTACTTCATATCACGCGTAGCACAGTGTCATATGAGGTGAGATGATATGATACACTATAATCACTATATTGGAACGGAATATAAGCAATATGATGCAATACAATGCAATGCAGAGCAACGAAATGTGTTGCGTTGTAATATGCAGGAGTATCAGTTGACATAGCTGCAATACAATGTAACGCAATACAATATAATGGTACAGTATGTAGTATAATGCGATACGATTCAGTATGACGCGATCTCACGCCCCGTCGGCTGCACCAATGAACAGGAAGATTCGAGCATCTCCCAGCACAGAGAGGGTCACAGCAGTGATACACTCGTTGGACTTGCCATGAAGCCGCCCATTCTCTCGGCCTGTCCAAACACACATTTGTGCCCTGGAAGACGACAACGCCTACCCTGAACGAAAGCGTCATTGCCGCCTCTGCCGCTGCCTCCGAGCTGCATGCCTTGGGCGAAGACGATCAGCGCAGTCTCCGAGAGGAGCGCCAGCTGCTGACTCGAGGACAGGGAGGATCGAACGTAGCTTTTCCTGAGCTTCGAAGGTCCAAGAGTTGTTGCGCTTTTCAGGCGCCGCCAAGAGCCTGGAGATCTTGAGGGCGACAAGGCCCTTTGCTGATTTTCGAGGCTTCACAGGCCTGCTGCGCCGAGTGCTGATGGTGGAGTTCCTTTGCCACATTAGCTTCGAAGAAGCTTCGACCTGGGCTTTTCGCGTGCGGTCGCGGGGGAATGCGCTGCAGCTTCGTCTCAGTGAAGCCAGCCAGGCGCCTCGTCGCCTCAAGAGATGGAAAGAGAGAGAGCAGAGAGAGAGAGACAGAGAGAGACTGTGGAAGAAGAGAGAAGCGAGAGGCGATCGAGAGCAACTCGCAGCTGGCATGAGGCTCTCTCTTCATTACATCGCGCGCTCCAGGACGGCTCCACGGCCTTTCAAGTCGGAGGGTGTGACATGTCACTGCAGGACCTCCCCAGCTACCGGCTCCTCTCCTTTCAAGAAATCCATGCGACGGGTCACTGGGGCAAAACTTCCTCAGGCGGGTTGTCGTACGTCGTAAGGGCAAAGAGACTCTTTGTGCCTCGTTATCTTTTTTCCCAGGTGCTGGCTCCTCAGCAGCTGCCACGGGGCCCCTCACTGGGAGGTTTCTGGCTTTCCTTTCGCGACTACGCACCACTGGACGGCATGTCCGGCCGGCGGCGCTGCTAGACATAGGCTGTGGCTGGGGCGAGTGGTTGCCGACGGCGCTGCGCGCGGCCACGCGGACGGGGTGGTTGCAGGGAAAGGTTTGGTACCAGGGCCTGGACATCGCCCGCCGGCCCATCCGGCACCTCCAAAGGGACTTCCAGCAGGAAAGCGACTTTTCCGGCGTAAGATTTCGCTTTGCAGCCGGGCGCTCAGGGACTCAGGGGTCACCAAGATTCACCAGGGTGGTCCATGAGGGTGGCTCCTGAAGGCCTTGGACGCATGCGCTGATGTTTTGCCTTCCTTCTCTCGGCCTTACTCCGTGGTGGTCGTGCGCCATGCTCCTTGCAATGCAGCCAAAGCATTCACGGTGACTGATAGAGTCGAGAGTGTTCGCGAGTGACACACATCGGGCAGGTTTTCCAGCACTTGTCCATCAAGGATGCTCTGGACCTGCTCATGAACCTGAAGCGGCTGAAGCCTCCGCCGCGTTTCCTCCTCCTCTCCTCTTGGCGGCGGAAAGAAAACCGGGACCTGGATGACTTCGGCGGGCCAGGAGCCGAGTTGCCCGGCAGCGCCCGGAGTGCAGCATGTGCAGCGAGCGCTGCGTCTGCTGAGGTCCTCGGCCTTCAGCTTCGTCTCTCCGACGCCCTCGGAGCGCTTCCGAGGATACGACCTGCGAAGAGCACCCTTTTGGCTTCGACCCTTGGCTGCGTGGCCGGAGATCGACGGCGAGATGCTGGCCCTGCCTGCAACGTTACAGTGCTCTGCTACAGTCTGCTAATGTCTGCTATTGTGCACAGTGAACCGTGGAAGTCTGAACCGGGCAGTGTTCTCGAGACCAGACTTTCGGGGGCAAAAGCAAGCGGAAGGCGTTACCTTTCAGCGTTCAATTCGGGGAAGCAGACGAACAATATTGAACACAGATCTCCGTGACCCTGCTTGATAATGGCCGACCGCCCACTGGCCAATGTACCTCTAGTAAGATTTTGGGCTAGCAGGCGGCTAGCACGTCGTCAGCTCGAGCTTGTTGGGTAACACGTCTTCAATGTTTGTAGCAGCAACCTCTGCGATCCAGCGGATAGCTTTCGGCTCGCTCGCTTTGTTCGCATTTCCGCCCTTACCACCCTTGGGGCGAAACACTTTGAGACTACCGGCCGGCACTCGCCCCTTCGGACGTTACTTGGGTGGGTGCAGAACTGTGCATGCAGATCGTACTACGACCAAAAGAGGCGCTGCACCTTTGGCAGGATTTTGGCTAACAGTTAACACGTCGTTAGCTCGATCTTGTTTCTGCTATGATTTGCGGGCTGTGGCAGTTTTCGCCAGGTCTTGCAAGGACGTGCGCTGCGGGCGCTCCGCGCGCGAAGAGCCCGACGGCCGAAGCCGAAATGATAGCAGTTGAGCGTCATTGAGCACTCCCTTTCCTGCAGAGAAGATCCTCAAGCTGGTGCAGTGAAGATCCTCAAGCTGAAGCACAAAGCAGACGCAGGCAGCAACAGTGGTCTTGCCGATCAACGGGATGCAACAGGTGACACCACAGCGTGGGGGAAGAAGGGAGCCAGCGAGAAGCAACGTGGGCGACGGCGATGGCGCCAGGCGCTAGGTCCGCTAGGTAGGTCCGACGTAGACGCTAGGCGTGGGCTGCAACGACAAAGAGGTCATGTTTGCAGCCTTGATTTCAGCCGCTGCCACTAGCATGTGTTGTGCGCTTTTGAGGAGCTTCTGGCTCTAGATGGTTCCGCGTCATTGTAGCTTTCCTCTCTTCCGCCCGGTTGGGCGAAGCCATCTGCGCCTGGATTGGACACCGACACGCTCTCTCTGACGTCTCTCATTCCCCTCCCCTTCCCTGCTTCTCCTCTCTGAGGTACTGAAATGGTTGCCGGGCAGGGTGGGCTGCTCCTCTGCATGCTGCCCCTGCTCTCCTGCGGCTTGACGGATGCTCGACGCCGCGGCCTCGGTGAGGAGAAGTGCAAAGCAGAAAGTGCAGCTGTGTAACAATCGGAAGCCTACCTTGCAAGGTGTCCGTGCTGGGCGCACTGAGCGAGGCATCCTGGACGAGATCCAGGAGCTGAAAGGGGCGCTGGCCCGCACTGGTTTTGCATCGCACCTGCTTGGAAAGGAGCTGCTTGGAACGGAGCGGGCTCAGGTAGGACAGGGCCAGGTTTCGGGTTTCGGATCAACTCAGTTCTCTTGGAGCTTCTTTGGCTCGAGGCGATCGGCTCTCGCGCGCCTTTCATGGAAGAGGTCCTCAGGCACAGCTTCGAGGCCCTTCCAAAGACCGGCCGATGCCTCACGTTGAAAGTGTTCCGGTTTGCCACCTCCTGCTTTTCATGCCGCGACGGGTTAATGAGGTCGAGGCCGCGTGGGCGCTGCCGTGGCCAATCATGCGCTGCACAGGACGCACCAAGGGGGGGGGGGGGCGCGCCCTCGGCTCTCTGCTCACCCTGTGAGGCTGTTTCTGCAAGTTCACAGCTGGCAGATGAAGGCCGGAAACTCGAAAAAAGAGGGCGGCCGGCCCCCGTCTTCTGGGTCTCGGCTCTCAGGACTTGCGGCCTGTGGCCGGGGCCTGGCACGAGCACAGCCCCACCATGGCACTCAAGCGTGCGCCTGCAAAGCTGAACTGGGCCCAGCTTGGCTTGCCGAAGCTCGCAGCATCTTGCAGCAGCGCATGCCTACATGTTAAACTTGCTCTAAGAGCTCCAAGGCACGATGCCTTTGACCAAAAGCTTCAGCAGCATGGACTGAGCTTGAATGCCGCTCGACGTCTATTCGGAGGCATGCTTGTGCTATTGTGCTATCTATAGGGTGCATCACCGTCGTTTGCCCCAGCTTGTCTTCGAAGAAGGTGCGAAAAGCATGGCAGGGCCCATACTTTAGCATGTTAGCTTTGTTGAACATGGCGTCCCCGTTATGATGATATGCGGAGCAAAACGGAAAAAACTCGATGCTTCTGCGTGGCCGATGTTTTGAGTTTGACAGGGAAGTGCAGTCGCAGGACGGTATGGAGGCTTAAGGCCAGGTTCTGCACAATGTGTTCTTTCACCCTCACAATGTGGGAAGAACCATGGCAGGGCCGATACTTTCGCATGTTAGCATTGCTCAACGTTGTGATGATATGCGCAGCAAAAAAAGCGAACACAACACCAAAAAACAATGTTTCTGCGCGGAAACCTTTGTTGCTAAAGAGTTTGGGCATGTAGCCTGGACGTTATCATGGTTTGGGCATGGATGCACCGGTCAATGGGTGGATTGGCGCGATATCATGGTTTGGGCATGGATGCACTGGCCTATGGGTGGATTGGCTCGTTATCATGGTTTGGGCATGGATGCACTGGCCTATGGGTGGATTGGCACGTTGTCGTGGTTTGGGCATGGATGCACCGGCCTATGGGTGGATTGGCACGCTATCATGATTTGGGCATGGATGCACTGGCCTATGGGTGGATTGGCACGTTATCGTGGTTTGGGCATGGATGCACTGGCCTATGGCTTGGCACGCTATCATGGTTTGGGCATGGATGCACTGGCCTATGGGTGGATTGGCACATTATCGTGGTTTGGGCATGGATGCACTGGCCTATGGCTTGGCACGCT